GAGAGAGAGAGAGAGAGAGAGAGAGAGAGAGAAAGAGAGAGAGAAAGAGAGAAAGAGAGAAAGAGAGAAAGAGAGAGAAATAGACAGACACAGACACAGACAGAGAAAGAGACAAAGAGACGTAAGCCAGCATCTTAAGGAAAGAACAAAGGCACAAGTACATCACATGTTTGGTGCACAATACAACTAATTTTACCTCCACACGATACGTCGTGGGCGAGAGGTGGGCGGTGGCTGATGGCACTCTCGCTGACCTCCAGGACAGCCGGACACAATCTGGGCTGACCACTATCATCTCTGGTTTCTCAATGCTCATACGCGGTGGAACTGAAGTGGGAGACGGGGGGCGGGGGGTGGGGGTGGCGGTATTAGAAACATACATTTGTTTATGAGTCTAATCGATAGAAAGTCAGAAAGTAGGCATCATCATCATTATCATCATCATCATTATCATGGTCATGATATGATGATGATCATCATCATCGTTACAATTGCCGTTAGTATTGATGTATAATAATAATAAAAAGTATGATAATTATTATTATCATTAGCCTATTATTATTATTATCATTATCATTATCATTATCATTATTATAACTATATTTATCATTATTATTATTATCATTATTATCATCGTTATTATCGTTACTATTAATACTTAAATGTTGCATATTTTTTAAAGCGTACTTACCTTTCACGATGAGCTCCTCAATGTAAGGCCTGTTGATCGGAGTGTAGTCTTCAGTGGGGACGCTGGTTGGAGGAAGGACTTCCCAAGCTGAGGCTGGACAGAAGATTGAACTTAAGTTCATATCTACTATTTTAACGTCAGTATTGAGACACACAATGGCAGCTACAAAGAGATAGATAAAGGGGTTCTCGTCCTTCTATTTTGCCTGCTTATATACCCTGAGCTACCCCATGTCCCCCTTTTCTTCTTCTTCTTCTTCTTCTTCTTCTTCTTCTTCTTCTTCTTCTTCTTCTTCTTCTTCTTCTTCTTCTTCTTCTTCTTCTTCTTTTTTTTCAGTTCCACAACAACAATTATTCTTTAAATTTCAAGAGTCAGTATTTGACTTTACTAGCCACAATCTGTAATGAAGCACAGTGTTATCAGAACGCCCAATTAAAGTTGACTTTCCGACGACTCACCTGGACTTCTGTAGTAAGGCACAGGAGGTGTCGGGGCACTCAGTTCTCCAGTGGCTGCCTTGGCCCGGATGCGGAACAAATAATCCTTTTTAGGGCTGAGCTCTGGCACGACATAGTGAGTGGAGCGTACGTCTCTCGCCAGGGGGTACCAGTCCGAGCGAGGAGGTTCTTGTGCCTGGGGGTTAGGAGTGTGGTAATGGCTAGTGGTAAGGGGTAAAATATTAATGGGGGTGAGGAGTGTGGTAATGGCTAGTGGTAAGGGATAAAGAATTAATATCTATGTCAACCGTCTATCCAGAGCTGTGTCATAATAATATATACTGCTTTAAGATTGTCTTCCAAGACGCAAGAGGCCATAAAACCCCAAAGGGAAGTGCTACTGACTGAAGTGTCTTTAGGCCATTTCCAAAAGGGGGATATTAACATGTTCTTACGTACAGTAGAATTGTAAATGGGCTGATTTATCAATGTCATGCTCATACTGTGCCGGAACAACATAGGGGGAACTGCTGCTTTTTCTTTCCACCTCCGTACTGTTGTCATTTTTCCTCTACTTCTTTTGTATGTGCCTGGATAGTCGAAGCAGACTTTGTGCTGTTGAGGCTAGAAAAGTAAGCAGAGTAAGCCCGATTCCCCCTTTGGACTTCTCTGTTGACATCCACCTCTTGGCACTTATATGACCTTTTTTAAGCAGTTGCGAACTAAAAGAAACAAGAGGCCATGCAGGTGTGCTAAAGGGAAAGAGAAGTAAACAGAGAAGGGAAAGTGAGAGAAGACAAAAAGAAAGCAGAGAGTATCAGAATAACAGAAGGGTGGAACATGTTATTTTAACACTTGCAGAGAAAAAGCGAAGGAGAGAGAGAGAGAGAGAGAGAGAGAGAGAGAGAGAGAGAGAGAGAGAGAGAGAGATAGAGAGATAGATGGAAAGAGAGAAAGAA